AAAGTAATGATCTTATATCTAGTACAAAACCACCAATAGTACCAAGAAAACAAAAAGAAAAACTAACTAAAAAAAAACAGATAGAATGAAGGGGGATTTTTAAAGGAAATATAAAAGAGGGTACAATGAAATATAAAAAAAGAAAATCGAAGAGAAAAGCCCGAGAGCTGACAACAGGGGAACTACCTCTATCAAGAAGCAATACAAATAGAATGGAAGAAAAAGAAAAAGTACACTATTATAACCCGTGCCAGAAAATTTTTTTTATTATTAAAATTTATTATTTATATTAATTAAAATACAATATATTTAAAATTTTTAATGATAAATTATGTCTATCATCTTCTAAAAGATTATTGTAAACAGAAAAGCCTCTCTCAACTGCACAAGACAAAATAATTTTTGTCATGACTGATATTAAAATTTGAAATTTTAAATGCATTTTTTTAGGTTATATTAAAATTCATGTTGGAGTTATTAATAAAAGTATATATGGACTTTATTCGGTTTAATATTTGAAAGATCTACTATTTTTTTTATTGGTCAGATCACATGTATAAAGACCTATTTTTATTGGTCAGATCATGTGTAACCCAAAAAATCAGCAAAAATTTGAAAAGATTTGCATTAAACACAAAAATTTGGAGATTAAGTACAAATTTGAAAAAATTTGAAAAAATTTATTTCCAAAATTTTATGGGTCCCTGTACTAGATACATATCAAATATAAGTAATAAAATATATATAGTAATGAAAGTATGTATCAAATATGTATTAAGCAAAAATTTTTATCCAATCATCTCGATCTGTTAATTGTGATACTTCATTAAAATATCAACTAATTATAGATTACTTTATTGAATTTTTTTTTTTTCATATTGATAAAATTTTTCAATAACACTAATTAGATTTATACATTCACTTGCACTTTCTTGCTAAAACAAAAAAGTGTGTATATTTTTTAGATTTTTCAAAGTGTTATTCAGACTTATAATTTCTTTTTTAATACTATTGTTTACTTCTTTGAAATTATTTTCTATTTTGCCAGATCTTTTTTCAAATGTTTTAACAAGGTCTAAAATAATTTGATCATCATTAGGTATTTCATAAACAATATTTTTGTCAGAATTATTTAAGTACTCTTCTACTTATATAGAGTTTAAAAAATTAAGGTCTTCAATATTTTTAGAAAGTTCTTCAAGCAAAACTTTATCTTTACTTTCTTTGCTATTTGTAGAATTATTCCAATAAAGAATAAGGTTAGTATGGTGCTAGCAGTTTTTAATTGTTGTAGCTATAACTTTATTTCAGCCTTGGATTATATATTTAATGGCTTGTAAAATATCTATATTTAGGTCTTGAGAAATATAATAGCAACAATAATTTCTTTTAAATAATATAATAATTCTAGTATCTATTGGTTGGATCTTTGAGATTGTATTTTTAGATAAGAGATAGATTTCTATATGTTAAAGAGTTAAACCTGTTGTTTTGTAACTTGAGCAGTTATCAAGAAATAATAAGACTTTTTAACCTTTATATTTTTTTTTATTAATTAATCAAAATCACGAAACCATTCTTGAAAAATGCTTATTATTATTCAAGCTTTAGTACTATTTTGGTAAGACATTTTCAAATTAGAAATTTTAATATTTTTAAAGCATTGTGGTTTATTGAAATTTTTTAATAATCAAAGATTTAACTTATGTGAACTATCTGAATTTGTATACAAAACAATAGTAATTTGTTCTTTATTTTTTTTACATCCAGAAAGACATTGAGTAGCTAATGAATGATTGGGTTCCAACTAATAAAAAAGAGCAGTTTCATCCATATTATAAATTCATTCTAGAAGATAGTTGGCACTTTTGCTTTATAATAATAGAAAAGATTGATTAATAGCTATATTATCAGCAGATTCTGCTTCATTATGAAGTTTTCCTTATGAATTTCATTACATTTTTTGAATTTGTGAAGCCAACCTAAAAAAAACTGCAACATGCCTTTAGGAACTTCCAACTCACTAGTAAGTAATTTAGCTTTTTCAATTAATATTGTATTACTTAAAATTGTTCTATATTATGAATTTGTTAAGTGCAAGCTCAAGGCCAGAATTGTGACAGCTTTATTTTTTTTTTTGGGGGGTTAATAATTTCAGTGGTAAGCTATTTATCTTTATTTTGCAAAATTCATATTATAGTAAATTCATAAACTTTAATATTTCACTTTGTTTTAATCCAATCTATGTATTTTGCACAAGTCATTTTGTTATCGCAAGTATAAATACAAAACTTATACTTTTGGGCATCATTAAGAAAGGTTTTTTGTATAGAGGTCATTAAATTTTAGATTAATTGATAGTCAAAGAATATTAAACAGGCAAAGTTATACAGAAAGAAATAATTCTTTTAGGATCTATTTATTCATTATCCATTTATATCAGTTACAAATTTTTTTTTTTTATAAAAAAATAAATGAGCATTATTTTGAAAATTAAACTTCTTAAAAATGAGCATGATTATACCTGATTAACTTTAAGTAAATCTAAATTCAGCTTATAGATCATAATGTTTGAGAATGTTATCAAGCTTTTAGCAACTTGCTAAGAACTAAAAAACTTAATGAATTTGAAATTGGTCTTGATAGATATCAAGTAAGTTTAAAGAATAGATATCGATTATCAGCTGCAAGAGATGATTGTTTTAAATTTTATATTAATCATAATCAATTAAAAGAAAATTGATTGCAATTGATTATAATCAATATAATCAATAGGAATTATCCCTGCAGCTAGTAATTGATTTTCACTTATTAAAAATTTTATAATTTAATCTCTAAAGTTATATGTAAATAGGCATTATTTAATAAAGATAAAGGCATCATTGTGCTGAGGTTTAAAACAGGTATAATTTATTTATTTGGTTTATTTTTTTTTAAATAGTTATTTATATCAATTTGGGTTGGTTTTATGTTAACTTTATAATAGGCGTTATTGCAAGCAGTGTTCGAAATTAGTGTTCTCAGAGTTCTCATGAGAACATAATTATAAATTTGTGAACAGTAAAAATGTTTTACTGTTCACTATTAAAAATTTTTTGAGAACAGTAAAATAAAAATAG